TCAGTTATCCTGTAAAGTTAAGCGATTACAGCTTCAAAAACAGAGCCAAAGATTCCTGTTAGGTCAAGAAATTCAGCAAACCTTGTTCGACAATGTGTGGGACAGAAATGTCGGTAGTTGACTCAATGCATGAAATCGATCGATGCAAGCTTACTTCCTATTCTTTACAGCGCCAATCTCCTTGGAGAAAATAAATCCACTCCATTGGGATCATGTGATTTTCGTACGAGAGACATCCTCAGATTTACTCGGTGTTTGGTTTGGAAGGTACAGCATATTAGCCTCTGTACAAACAAGTGCATAGCGCTGGGCAGCAGTGCTTTGGCGCATGATTGCCGCTGGCCTCCGAAAATCACGTTTACCATTAGATACGAGTAGCTGTAATCCATGAGTCCATGCATTCATGTCAGTTGGACAGGCTTCCTTCATCATAACCGTTGCATCAGGCAGTAGCAGATCTCATCCGCTCATTCTGGAGTAGCCGTACTCTCATGCCGTGCACCATCGCACCAAAACTTTTGTACCTAAGTGGTTATCAACGTGGTTTAGTCCGCCTGTTGAGCGCTTTGCCAAGAGATGACAGCTGTCGTTTGCCCCATCTACGAGCAGCCACAAGCGGGAGATGGGAACGTGGACACCAAAGGGGAAGAGGATACCCACAGGGGTTCACGACAGTCTATCCACCCACAGAGGCCACCACTATCAAATCCCGCATACGGCCCCGACACAACCTGAACCACGTGGAAATTTTGTATGTTGATCACGGTCCTTGGTTCCTCAAAGATGTCAGGCGACGAAGAATCACAGAAGCTAAGGTCTAAACAACGAACAGAACTTAACTTTCCCATTGTGGTTTCAAGCCCGTTGATTAAACATGGACGCAATCACAACGATTCGTTCCAAAGTCAGGGGTTCAGAGACTGAAAGCAACATTTTCGATTACTCCGTGGGAAAAAAGCTAGATTCATTCAACTAGTTATCTAAGCCCGATTTATTTATGTAAGGTCTTGGGAATTGTCAAAGTTAGTTCAAATTAGGGAATTTAATTTAGCCAGTGAGTGCAATGATGTGACATTATTTATCCCATTATCAATCAAACCGGCAAATGCATGTTAGCAGTCGAAAAGTTAGTTCATCCCCAGCGGTTTTGTTGCACCTAAAGTAACTGTGTCAAAACATATTGATTACAGGGCAATGTTAGACTAACAGACACGGAATCGATGCAACTGGCTACGATTACAATTATTATCTCACAAATAGGTCGTATTTGAAAAGGGAACAAACAGATGGTTAGGAGGGAGAGAACAGAATTTGAGGTCCGATAAAGTTTTCTTCCGTGAGAGAGAGAGCTGTTACTCGATTCTTGGGTGATGCTTTGAAGCACTGGTTCAGAATCAGAAGTGTACAACATTGTTAGGCTCTCGCAGAACATAAACAGCACTGAATATGGAAATGTACATCAGAAGTATGAGTGTTTTTTTGGAAGAAAAAAGAGATGAACCTGTGTAATACCACAAAAATAAGAACATGACAAAATAAATAGTACTTATGAAAATAGAGATATGGGGCTTAGGGTCAGACAAAGCCATCATGCATGCATGCAATCAAGTCACTGTGTTCACGAGTTTGACGCGTTCAATGTCCGTCGCAAAAATTCATACAGCGGTTCCGTTTGTGTTTTCTTCTCTTGGTTATATTGAACCAAGGCATTCCAAGTTTGACCTAAAAAAATAATCAGAAAGATATCCAATTCAATAAGGTACGGAACTCGCTCAAAATCATGTGCGTAACTAAGATGAACAGATACAAACTGATGACCTAAATCCGTTTAGGTGAAAAACCGCTCAAAGATCAATCAGTGGGTATTCTGGTCCAAAGTCGACGGCGAATAAATGCCTAAGTTCGTCAACACCATCCGGCTTAGCTGAGACCCATTACAATTGCCGTGATTTCACGTCACACCGCTTCCAAAAACACAGAGTGAACAAGAATGTAAAATCATTTCATGCGACGCAAAATTTAATAGGGTTGAATAGTTGATGGATCACCGAGATCCGGTTTGTCCATCTTTTCTCTTCCTAAATTCGGGACTGACCCAGAGGATCTTCCTATCAAGTATGCTATTGATGTCATCATAGGTGATTTCCGCTTCTCACAGCTTCAAACCAGTTTATCTGCCTTAAGCTTACTGTCTTCGTGTTCCAAATTATATCTCATTGCCTCTAAATGTGGGAATGTCACCTCATTTGCCAAAAAAGAACGGTTACATTCTTTTGAAACAAATTGTTCTGTACTCTATCTTCGCACACGGTCTGTTCGCCCAGTACGTTCTCTACAATACCTCGGTGTTACTATCTGCCAAGATCACACCTGGACTTCACATCTAAACTCTACGTTTAAAATGGTTCGACGATGATGTTTCTTTATTTCCCACTTGCGATCTTTGAAATTTTCACTATATTTACTCACCCGATTTGTATATTCTTGTGTTTTCACTCGTCTTCTTTACTACTCCCCAGTTTTATTTTCCGTTCTTAGAGTTAAGGATCTTTCTGAGATTTCTACCGCAAACGCGTCCACTAGAGAACACCACGTAGATGATATCCCCTTTCAAACGTTAACGCCACATTCCTCTTGAAATGACGATGCTGCATTTGACCTTTTTCTCTGTGACCGTGTGTGATGATGAATGATCCTGGTGTGCAAGGAGATGATAATCCATTCACTAGGATCAATAAAGCGATTTTTGACTTGATTTTTTTCAATTCATCCCATTGAAATAACGTATAAGATCTTTTCATTTCCCATCCAATCGATAACGGGCATATGATTTGTTTACTTGCGGTGGGATAAGTCATTGATTGTTTCAGGGTTCCATTTGTTCGTTGTCTCGAAAATCAGCAAAGTCTGAATGGGTTACGGGGAACCGGAAGAGAGGCAGGTTGATGGATGGATGTTAATTAGCTTCGATTGCCTAATTACTCTGACAAGCTTGTGTCCGGGCACTGCGTGTAATCCGGTTACAGTTATGCTGGTGGCTGCCAAAACCGAGCTGATCACTTGACCGCACATAAGTCCAGGGCGAAACGACAATGCATTGCGGTTTATGGGACGGACAGCGCTGGAATGGCGAAGCCCATTGAAAAGAAGTGGCAATTCACGGTGAACCATATGAAAGACCAATTCTGTCTTCAACGAGGAGTTGTGTCAGCCAGACAATCGAGAAACATTCACACCTGAACCAAAGCCTATTTCGATTGCATATGGATCTGTTCAACATGTAGATTTAACTTTGGAAAGAAACTTGAATAAAACCGTTTCAATTGAATGAACAGTGCCTTAAACCACACTGAACCCATGACGGATTCGCCAACACGAAAATATGATACATTTTGGTGAACGAGAGACAAAGTAATTGACCAAGCGATGGAATCAATAACTCCCGGATTTGAAAGAGAGCACAGGACTCATAGGTAATTCGGAATTTCGAGAATACGATCGATATGAGCGGCCAAAAGAAAATACGACGAACAATTGGTCACATTCCACGAAACTGAAGGGAGAAGAGGCTGATATCGGACTAAACGAACACGTTCCTTGTACAACGGTATCACGCTTCGCTAATCACACTGCTCGATTTCGGGATAATGAATCGGTTAAAAACAACACCAGTCTGATTAGCTATCACAGGTTGTCGGGAAATCACAATATACCTTGAAAATTCTCACCGTCGTTCTCGCGCGGTGTCCTCGACGTCAAGGGATTGGTGGAATTTAGGGAAATGAACAGAACACTGTATTCTGATTGGGCCATCCGCTTTAACCATTCTCTCTCTCGTATTTTCCAGTCCGGGAAGATCATGACTATTTGCAACCAAATAAACCTAGCACAAATATTCAACACAGATTTCGGACGCTCACAAATACACATTCTCACTGTTTGGCAATTGTCTTCTAACTGGAAATCGCGGGTCTAAATGTCGTGGAACAAGATTCAGTGATAGAGTGGCCGATACAACACAAGTCACACGTGAAAAACAGCAAAACTGAATCTCTCACCGACTGTAGTTTTTGAAGTGGACAGAAATTGGTGCATTTCATACAGTTTGTCACGCAAGTCCACATCACCAAAAGTGTAGTACGCCATGGACTTGCCAGCTTGACAACAAGCCATCATCTGAAGCACAGCTATGGAAGGAAAGAAGGGAACGAACTCTTCCGTCAGCGGTCTGGGTATCATGATGTACCGTACAGATCACAATCAAATCTTTATCGGGAATTATTAGCTTGGGCAGCCATATCAATCAACGTTAGAAGTGAGCACAACAATGTGCGAATATTTAAGACTTAATGTTATTTGGTCGGTCAGGGGCTGGTTTGTGCGCATCATTTTAAACGCCAAATCGATTAGAATCCTTAACCTGGAAGATAGGAGACTGGAGTTCGTCTAACCTCTCCATTGAGACCTCACTGGCATTCATTGATAGCTGCCACATTCAAAATGCATACAAATTAGGTGATGAGTAATGGAAGTTACGTCACGATACTGCCATCAGGTTTATGTGGCATTTTGGACAGAGAACATCTGGCAAACAAATATCCACGAGATCCTCCAGTGCCACTGCTGGACATCCACGTCCCATATTAAATAGGATTAAGATGGGATCGAATGCACCTTGACGCGGCGCGAGAATAGTCTGAGGAATGAGTCCTGTAGAACTCGGTTGTATACAACGTTCTGGAAGCTGCGATTTATAGGGGCTAAGAACGGGAGGGCCAGTGAATAAATGTGAGAGACGAGGGACCAAGAGGTTGCTATGACCTCCGACTTTAACCTCACGACCCAGTACCTGGCTGTNNNNTCGGCATGACCAGTGTAGCACGTGTCAAGCTGAAGTGAACTGTAGCTTCCAGAGACCCGTTACTTGTTCCTTCATACATATACGACTGTTGATCGGCTCCGTGTGCAGGCCTGGGATGAAAGGGGCCGAAGGAGACAGCCTGAAATTAAAGAGACCCGGGGCAATCAAGCGCCTCAGGGAAACCGTTCTACGCACCGGGTAATCAATTCTTGACCAAAATGGGTGTCCAAATAGAATACTGAGTTCCAGCTGAAGCTGGACACCCACTGTATCTAAAAACTGATTATGGTTCACTGGTAGTTCGGCCGTCTCTGTTTCTCCTCCATTCTATATTACGTTTGTCTGTGTCCAGCTTTTTTGTCCTACTATTGCTACTATTATTATTTTTTCTCTTTCTCTGATCTCTCTCTCTCTCTGAGCTCACAGCAGACGGTTTCGAGCTCTTTTCCTGACCCTGGAAATGTTTCAGACGAGTGCTTTGATCGCGAGGAACCATCAGAATTGCGTTTTCCTCTTGCAGAACGACGTTGCCTCGCGTTCATGTGTGAAAATATCACAACTATCAGGATACTGGAGTGACCCCAAGTTCCCCGATGTAAGAAACTCTAGACTACTGCTGGCTCCGTCACAAGTCCTTTGACCCTGTCTGACACAACCAGCTTGGAATTCATTGTGGCCCATGAAATGAACCCATCCTCCGGTGGAAAAATTAGCGTAAATAATGCACATGATTGCCACAGCTTTAAACATAATGCGAATTCACAGTTAAATTGTCAGAATGTGAAAAAAAGCAGAAAAGTACACATATAAATAAGAAACGGGTTTGCGAAGACACTAAAACGTAACTCGTCAACATTGCACCAAAAAACTGACATACCTTTCAGATAAACATCTCCTCGAAACGCACCGCAGCCCCAATTCCCAGTGGCCACTATGGAGGGTAGTTGACGATGAGGTGCCAAATCGTCACAGAAACCGCAATATGCCTACGATTGAAACGCGCAACAGGCACTCGGAGTTGCGAGCTAAACAAGAACAGTATAAAAACAATGAATATGTTCATTTGTCACAGGGTCCCCTGAATGTAATTCCTAAATTTTTCCAGCCTGTAATTCTACATATGGTTTTCTTTTGCCCGGAATATCTCTCTCTCTTCTTGCAGTGCCATCCCTACTACCGTTTTGGTGGATTTCATTATGCGCAAACATTTTGATTCATGTAATGAATTCATCAGCCATTTACTGTCGAATGAAAAACACTGCCTGCACGTCTACCTCAATAAATCTGTGTCTTATCCGAGTACGCGTTCCAAATTTGGGATCCATCATGCACGTACCACTACATACCAAAACAGCAGCACCATCCCTTATTTTTCTGGTATCTTACTCAGTCAAGCAACTATCATCACTAACACGGGGAATCACCAGTCAAATTAGTTTTTTTATCACGCCCATTTGCATTTCATTTGGTAATCATTTGATATTGTGTTTCGTTTCGTGTTTAACGTTTCCTTCACTGTAACTTGTCAAAAGTTCTAAGAATCTAGCCAACTGGTTCCAGAAAGCTCAAGTTGACTTGACTTGACTGCACTTGAGTATCAGGTCCAGTGTGGTTTGTGAGCCCTGGGACCAGTAAGACTGACAAGTTTTTTTAATGCACACCTCAAGAGTGATGAATAGCAGACGGTGCAAACCCCATAGTCACGAGGACCGGCTGTTCAGTGGTGGAAACCGGCACCCTAAGCCCCGGGACTTGGAGTGGTGAAACACATANNNNCCTTGATAGGCTAGGCGGGGTATTGAATCGGGCGACAGCAAAGCTTCTTACCACCAAAGTCGGGTGGCGTGGGCGGTGCTCGAACCTCGGATCATAGGGTCCAAAGCAAGCCGGTGAGTAAACAGGAGGCAGCCTAATAAGAGTTCTAGTGGATTTTGTAAATAAGCTTAGTGCTGTGTTCTGTTAGAGTGGACTGTGTTAAATACCTTGGAGTCACCAAGGAAAACAATCCTAGCTCTTCAACTAATAGTGAAAACTGCTTCGAAACCTCAGAAAGTATAGCAATTCGCAGTCAATTTTATATACTTTTGTAAACCAGTGTGTCCCTCACCTATCTCACTTTATTACCATCTTGGAATTTCGTTTGAGTTGCTAAAACAGGATTGTAAAACAGTTGGTGAAATCTAACGACTTCTCACCGCGTTTCCTCAATTCATTACGCTACATAGTCATTTTTTCGGATTTTGAATTTCACTGCGTTTATTGGTTCTGTCAACATCGTATTTGAAACCATGGATATGCCCCGTAATGGTCTTATTGACCTCGTATTGATTAATTTACTCTAATTCTGCTCCCGTAATTACACATCTCTATCAACGAGTCATACCGCGCACTTTGATTGGCTGAACCAAGTTTCCTCCCTCTCGGAAGTATTTTGCTTTTCGGTGAATACCACATTATGACCATGTGAACATTCTATTCGCGGTCACTGGTAAACAATTTCAAGCACGATTTGCTCGATACTGTGTAGTTTATGTCCTCGCTGGCTCATTTTCGGAATCCCACTCAAATGAATAAAAATGCAAGGGTCGTGGCTGACAAGCAGCGTTTACCGGCACGCTCCCATCAAAATGACNCTATTGGTTAGCATGAAAATCAGGTTCTTTTTCGAAAATATGACGGATCTAAGGTGCATCCTCGATTCACACATCCACCGGAATACAGGGGTTGCTTGTACTTAATAGTCCTGACTTGACCAAAATTTTGGGGACTCATTAGTCGGAACCGATGATTTCAAATGCTTCCGTAAGACCAGAAAGCACTGTGACCTATGAGACTTGTACCCTTCAGCATTTGCCCTTTAGTCAAAAGTTGAGCTGAGGAAAGCATCGGTCAGGGTGTTACACGAATGAAAAATCACGTAGGTGAATGGAACACGACAAGCACTCACCTTGTTCAACTCGCGTAGCAATTTTTCCGGTTCGAATTGATCACTGGATTTCGAGAAATAAGTGGCGTCCATAGCCACCACTGTTCGTTTCCAACGGCCCCACCCATCACTGAAACAGCGTTTTCGAATCAGCACATGATCCAAAGTTTGAGATATCATCTGCCATCTCAAGCCACGGAAATCTCCCGGTGAGGACGGGACACCCGCCGAAATCTACGCAGTGTTCTTCAGCCATTTTAGACCCTCTTCATAGCTTACTTTGTGCAATCTGGAAAACCGAAGTTTGCCCAACTGACTGGACTATATTGATTTTACTACCTTTCCCTAAAAAGGGTGACAAATCAGTGTGCAAAAACTACAGAGCCATCAACTTACTTGACGTGGCGGCCAAGTTTTTGAACGACTTTTGCTGACCCTCTTTGCTGCAGCAAGGCACGCACGCACTCGTCCTAACCAGAAAGGATTCCGCCAACTTAATGAGATCCTACCATTCTTATACTAGCGCCCGAATCCGTATCTACGGAGAGGAATCTTGCCCCTTCGGGTTAGGATCTGAAGTACAACAGTGGGTGCCCATTGTCCCCAATGCTGTTCAACTTTGCCGTGGATTATGTGTCGCTCGATGGAAGGACACCAGGGAGTCCAAATCTCTCCGAACTTATGGCTCACCGACCTAGAATTTGCGGATGATATTGTCGTCTTTGGCGAGGACATGTCTAACCTCCAAGTGATCGGTGACCGCATCAATCGACAGGCCTCCGAGATCGGCCTAGAGGCGAACACATCAAAAGCCAAAACCTTTGCGACAGTCCCGATTCACCCCGAGAATGCTTCACTACTACTACTAAACGACGAGCGGATCGAATCCGTCGACAGCTTCAAATACTTGGGCTCCACCATTCTCCCCAACGGCCAAGCTAAAGACGAGGTGCAAAGGCGCGTCGACGCTGCAAGAAAGGCGTTTATACAGTTAAATAATTCCCGTTGGCGCAGAAATGAAACCAGCCTCAAAACAAAAATCCGAGTTTTCTCCGCAGTATTCCGTCCTGTTTTGCTTTACGGCCGAGAAACCTGGCCACTCAAAGTCGAAGACTGTCACAGATTACAAGTCTTCGATCACTGGTGCTTAAGAATCATTCTGGGAGTACGATGGAGGGATCAACTCTCAAATGAAGCGATCAGAAATCGGTGTTTTAATCTTGTACGGCTGAGGACTTTAATACAACGGCGACGACTACAATGGTTTGGCCACATTCCTCGTAAGCCCGATAACGACCTAACAAAAGCTGTCTTGGCACCGCCTCCCTGGCCTAACTGGCGATGTCGGAACGGTGAACAGTTGAAAACCTGGCTTGACACGGTACGAAAGGATACTGAAAACCCTGGTTTCCGTCTACGGCGTTCGCCAATGGAAGTCAAGCTGGATTACAATATGCGTCGATCTTGCCGCAGATCACCGAGCGTGGGCAGCGGCAATTCGAGATATCCATGAAGCCAGCTTATCCTCTCCCAGGAGCCCGCCGCCGTAAAGTAGAGTAAGTAAGCACTCAAGCTTTCCAGAAAACCTTGTAAATTAACTGGATCTTCACTTAGTAGCACAATGTCGTCCGCATACTCTAGATCAGACAGCCTACCACTTGGGAGTAAATCGATGCCATTATCCTCGCACGAGGATAGGGCTGTTTCCATAATCAAATACATAACAAAGTTGAATAGAAAAGGAGAGAGAGCGCAACCCTGTCGAACACCAGTTTCTGTGGTGAACTCGGATGCGAATGTACCGTAAGCTCGGACTCGGCTTCGGCTATGAGTACTGGGGGATTGTAATATTGAAATAAACTTATCGGGCAGATCCTTCAGGAAAAGGCACCGAAAGGTGAATATTCAGCAGCCACGTAGTGAACGTAGAGCCTTGAACCAAGCTAAGTTTCACCGGAATGGTGGGAAGCAAAGAGAAAACAAAACACTAAACCATTTGTGTGAGTCAAGTTTAGAAGCGATGTAATCTGGATTACTGAGAAATCGAGCAATAAAACGGAGATATCACCCGCGGGTGATAGGTGGTTGTGCGAGCAAATGCCGAGATATAGCAGAATTGGGTGTAAGACGAAGACACACATTGTAAGATCTGCGTGTGACGGATGCGAAGAGCTGCTCATCTATTTTGTCGATAACGAAAGATATGGCCTTGTACGTTATGAAACGATGAAGTGACAGAAACTTCTAAAAAAAAGCCTCAAAGATCGAAGAAGCAACTTTAAGTCCCTTTTGAGCATCTTTGAGAAGATTCCAGGGGACTCGCACAGTTCGGGGGTGCAAAGCTCGTTCACCCATTGCGAGGAATTTAGAGTGAAGTTATGTGCAGTGGACCACTTAGCACAGTTATATAGGCTAAGTTGAAGGATACAGGTAACAAGTGCATCACAGCGGCCGATTCCGACCACAACGTCTACATATTTACTAAGCAGGCATGAATGAATCTTAAATGGGAAAGAAAAACCGGGGACACAATGGCACCGTGTAGTACTCCCAGTGCAAAGGTTGAATGAGAGGTGGGACGATCAAGGTAACGTTTGAACTGTGATCGATTTGAGTCCATGGGTACCGCAGTTGTGATATGCGATATCTCACGGGAAAACGAAATATTTAACAAATATTAGACCTGCCAACACAATTGAAGGCGTTGCTGTAATCCGAGAAACATATTCTGACAACTTTCTTATTTCCACCGAATGCTGATAGAATGTAGTGGACCAGAGAAGTTAGGGTATCTAGTATGAAGCGAGATTGCTGGGGTGCTGTACCTAAGCCTACGATGACATTTCTTGAACGAGTGCTTTCTCCAAACGTTTCAACAGAACAGACGCACATGCTATGAGACGCAACTCTGAAGTTCCTCCTTTAGGCTCTTGAGTGTTGGAGGCAGATTTCCAACAATCAGGTATCATTCCGTTTTCCAAGCACTGGTTAAGCAAAGCTATGAGCACTGGTGAAATTGTCCAAGGCACTTCTTGAGGGTGGTAGCATCCGCGACGGAGACACAACCAGCCTTGAAAAGTGTGGAGAGCTGCCAGTCAGACTCTCCTTCCTTCAGAGACTGAAAGTAAAGATTTTCGACTACTCCTCGAAAGAAGAAAAGCTAGATTCACTCACCTTCCAATCTAAGCGTGCTTCAGTTAAGCGAGTTCGACGGGAATGGTCAAATCTAGTTCAAATCGGGGATTTTAATTTGGCGAAGCAGTGCTTGATGATATAATGTGACAACACTATTCGTCTCAATATCAATCAAACCGGCAAACGCATGTTAGCAGTCGAAAAGTTAGTTCATCCTCAGCGGTTTTATTGCACCTCAAGTGGTTATGTCAAAGAATATTGATTATAGGACAATGTTACATAAACTGACACGAAGTCGATGCAACAGACTACGATTACAATTATTACCTCACAAATAGTGTGCATATGAAAGGAAACAAATAGATGGTTAGGAGGGGAAGAACAGAATCTGAAGTCGGACACCGTGTGTGTGTCTTGAGTCGTGGGTGATGCACTGAAGCACTGGTTCAGAATCGGAGCTGCATGCCATTGTTAAGCTCTCATAGTACGGTGGACAGCATTAGATATAAGAAATGTGCACGAGATGCGTGGATTTTTTTTCAGGAGAAATAGAGACAGGAGATTGTATAATACAACAAAAATAAGAACACGGCAGAATAAAAAATATTTATGAAAAGAGAGATATGGGGCTTAGGGTCAGACAAAGCCATCATGCATGCATGCAATCGGATCACTGTGTTTACGAGTTTGATGCGTTCAATGTTCGTCGCAAAAATTCATACAGCGGTTCCGTTTGTGTTTTCTTCTCTTGGTTGTATCGAACCAAGGCATTCCAAGTTTGACCTAAAAAAATAATCAGAAAGATATCAATACAAATAAGGTACGGAACTCGCTCAAAATGGTGTGTATGTCCAAGGTGAACAGATACAAAGCAATAACCTAAGTCAGTTGAGTGACAAACCGTGCAAGGCTCGCGGTGTACTTACTTAACCGGTGACGCAGCGGTTTTTTCGCTATTAGCGGACCCTATGGTTCAAGCTGCACAACTGCCTATCATCTTCGGTCGTAGGCAACTTTGATGTAATTCAGTTTAATACCACGCACAAACTAGAGGAGCCTTGTGTGGTTAGCTACTCCAAGCCGCCAGGGCTTAGGTTACCGGTTTCCATCACTGAACAGTAGGTCTTGGTCACTATGGGATTCATTCTATCTGCTGTTCATCGCACAATGGTGTGCGTAATAAAATACCAATGAAAAGCCAGCACATTACAAAATTGGCAACTGATCAGACTGTTTATCTTTTGCCACACACAAGATAGGATTAACCATTTTTGCAAGTTTGTTACCGGTGGCGCTCTCCACCGGGTTGACTGACCACTGGCAGTCAGTCTAGGGGAGTTGAGTAAACCCTGATTCCAAACCACCCACATCTGGCGTAAGAAACTCACAGTGGCACCAATGTTCGGCGTAACCGAATCGGTCTTTAATCTTTAGAGTTGACCACCGTGATGCTCACCGGCAAGTGCGCAGCTCAAGGGCAATCTGGGTACCCTGGATAGTT